CTCAGGTGCCCCTCAATTTGGAGCTCTAATTTGTACTCTAAAGACAGGAAGTGGGGTGGGTGTACTAGAGGAAAAAGTTTTCTTTAACCCTTTTAGGGTTCCTGGCTGAGCCTGAAAATTAAATTGACATAGACAGATTAACAGGAGAAAAGCATACAAATTGTTTAAAAATGATTAAAGAGGTCACCTGGGTGATGGCTCACTCAGTTGAATGTTCAACTTTGGCTCAGGTCATATTCTCACAGTTTGTGGGTTCGAGCCCCATGTCGGCCTCTGTGCTGACAGCTCAGAGCCTGGAGTCTGCTTCAGGTTCTGTGTCTCCCTCTCTCTCTCTCTGCCCCTCCCCAATTCATACTTTCTGTACCCAACTCATACTCGTCTCTTTCTGTCTCCCCAAAATAAATAAGCGGTAAAGCAAAAAACAAAAAACGATTAAAGAAGACAATTTAGCTTATACAAACAAACTTTATTCAACACTTTACGAAAGTGGACAGTTTCCATTCAGAGAACTGCAAAATGCGGCAGAAGGCAGGAAGCTTTTAGAGGATAAAGAATAAAAGAACAAAGTGAGTATAGAGCCCACAGTTGGCTTAGTGTTTGGGGATTGGCTGATTGGATGTACTGAGTTTTTGGCCTAGGGAAGCATTTACAGGGCCATGAAATTTATCTAAAGTTTCAGTTTGCTGACCCAGCATTCCTGGGCAAGAAGAGACTCCATCTTGCCTAGAAATCTATTCCAACAAAAAAAATTTTTCTTTAATTTTTTTTAACTTTTTTAATTTATTTCTGAGAGAGAGAGACAGCATGAGCGGGGAGGGTCAGAGAGAGAGGGGGATACGGAATCTGAAATAGGCTCCAGGCTCTGAGCTGGCTGTCAGCACAGAGCCCGACGTGGGGCTTGAACCCACGAACTGTGAGATCATGACCTGAGCCAAAGTCGGACACTTACCCGACTGAGCCACCCAGGCGCCCCTATTCCAACAAAATTTATTTACTTAATGTAATTTCGATGTGACATGGGAGTCTTCATCCGAAAATGAAGATCCAAAGAAATAGAATGGTGTGTTTTTATCCGAGGTTTGATAAAGAGTGAACAGTTGTAGAGGAATATCCTAAGGAGTATGCGGTCCTTATTATACATTGGGAGAAATTTAGCAAGGCCTGTTTGTGAGGATTCTTCTTGGTGTCCTTTACTCTTCAGAGATATGGATACTCCTTTCGGCCCAGGGCACCTCTCACATGAGGGCTTTATGACCTGTTTTAGTGAAGGAAGAGGGAAGGTGTTTAGAATTACTTTCCTGCTCCCTCCATTTTCTCAAACTCCTTCAGTTTGAAAACTCAATATACCAGGTACTATATTTTGGGACAGTGTATCCTGAGAAGTCGATCATGGGTACTAGCAGTGAGGAATAAGAGGTATTTTTGTCTTTTAGTTTTGTATATATTTTTTTCAGTTGACAGAAGGGCAACATCTAGGAAATTAATTCAGTAAATCATTATTTATCTTCTATTTGGTAGGGATTATGAAATGTCCCTCTTCTACATTCAACTTCCAGCCTCCAATTTTCCCCAGTTAAAGTTGAGGGCCTTAGATAATGTTAAAGTTCTTTTTTGCTTTACAAATCTAAGAGTCATCAATCCTTTTAACCTTCATTTCATGTTCTCCCAATTAGACCGTATTTATCTATCTATCATCTATCTATCTATCTATCTATCTATCTATCTATCTATCTATCTATCTATCCATCCATCCATCCATCTATCTATTGCCTGTAGGTCACCAAGGGCCATTTATTTTGTCGCTTAGTAACATTTCCTGCAAATTAAAAAGAAAAGTCACATTGGACATGGTAAAAGCATTGGTCTCTGCCTTCTGACCTTTTTTTTCCTTTTCAAATTTTCATTTAAATTCTACTTAGTTAACCTATAATGTAATACTGGTTTCAGGAGTAGAATTTCATGATTCATCACTTACAACACCCAGTCCTCAACACAAGTGTCCTCCTTAATACCCATCACCCATCTAGCCCATCCGCCTTCTCCCAACTAGACCTTAAAAAATTGGCTGGGGGTGTGTGATGTGTATGGTGGTTCGCATCTAGTTGGTAGTGTTTAGAGTAAAAGTTATGATTTCCTTTTTCCCCTACTTCATCCAGTCCAGTTTTGCATAGAAGCTGATCACACCTGCTTACTCACCTGGTTTCTTGTAAATAGATACATTCCGATGATGCTAACACCTCTAGGGTTAAGGGCCTTCTCCTCCTCCACAATTCATCGTGCAAAGCTGGGCTTAGCAGGGCTGAAGAATGCTTATTCTAGGTTCAGTTGATATGCAAAATTAAACTGGCCTGCCGATTCTTCTATTCGCTTTAAGCTGCTGCCAAAGAGGTGAGCTCCTTTCAAAACCTGATTTTCCTTATTTAGGTGTGTTTTCAGGGGGAGGGCTTCGGCTTCTACACAACAGACACGACAGATAGAATGCATTTCCTTTTCACCTGTTTATGCTAATGACTTTCAATGTTATGCAGAGTAAAGAAATTATTTAGCCTCTATTCAGGAGAACGCTTTGGTTTGAAAAGGAAAACACTAATTCCAGCAGAATCATTAAATGAAAATGAGAAAGCTTAGCAAAATTCAAAAAAAAAAAGAAGAAAAAAAGAAAAGTCAGTTAAGGATTTTCTAGGGATTACAGACTGTTTTGCTCCGTTTAGATAGAGACAAATTCTTCAGTACCTGTTCCCAATCTGATTTAGTCCATGAGAATGATTTTCATATGGACGGAGGTTTTCCTAATACTTCACTTTATTATTAACACATTTCTTTTTTATCCTGAAATTTCCTTTGGAAAATTGCTTACACCCATAACTCTGGAAGACTGGCCTGTCTTAGAGGGAAAGGAAGCTGAAAACAATTGTTGTGAAATATGGGGTACAAGCCTTTACATCAGAAAATTAAACTACTAGTTCATAATCAAGAACACATGGTCTGTGATAAGAGTATATTCCAGGCTAGATTTATAGCATTCCCCAAAATTACACATCGTCACTACCTTATTCCCTAAGATCTTCGGAATGTTTAACTTTTAGTAGCTGTAGGGGCTGGTGACCAGGGAAGACAAAAAAACCTTTAGCGGCGGAATGCATCTATCAGTAGTAGTACTGATTCTGCTTCACTTCTAACGGTGAATATACTTGGCATATATCACAGGCCTTCTTTGGACACTTAAAGGCACCAGTTCGCGAGGGAACTCGCGGAAGCACATGACTAGGGTTTCTGGACCTGAACGTCGTATCATCTGAAAACTGTCTCTGGATACAACGTTTTCACTTGTGCGGGAGATTCAGCTCGGGCCCCACACATGCACCGTAAGCCTCCGCAAGAAAGCTTTAAACTTCTTGGACGTGCCAGAAACCCGAGGTTGAATTAAATGACTAACGCTTTACCTAGTTTTTACCACTAGTTCTCTGCCAGAATCTTTTCAATTCATCCTCCGCCAAAGCCTGTCGACCGCCGACAACACATCCTTTCTCACACACACACACACACACACACACACACACACACACACACACACACCCACCCCACGCCTCGCGTCTTTGCCGTCCCAGGCCTTTGGCTGCCCTCCGGTTTCTTCCCTCACGTACTTGCCTGGCTGGTTCCTAGAAGCCTGGCAGAGATTTCCCTCTGACCTGAATCTGGCGGCCACAGATCGAGCCTGGGTCCCAACACCCCGCCCTCGGCGCAGACCTACACGGATCTCCTTTACGAACAAAGAGGACACCTCTCGTTTTTCCTCTGAAAACAAATCCTGCGTTGGCTTTTAAAAGCGTGGGTGGACAGAAAAAATAACAGACGGGGACAGAGGCTGGGAAAAGCGAAGAGGTAAAAACTGTTACTGGATCAGGATAACGCCCGAGGAAGCGCCAGCCTCCCGGCCTCTGTAAAGGTAACCGAGGCCACTTATCTTTGTTCTGTGCCCCGAAGTAACCCAAGTTTCCCAAACCGGAGGTGGCACATAGTAGGTGCTCTATTAATAGTAGCTGAATGTTCCCAAAACTAGGAGCATTAAACACTGACAAGCGGCTCTCAGACGGAAAATGACAAAGGCCACCGCCTCCTCCAGTGTTTGGCACCCCCCCAATACAGCCCATTGTTCTACTCGTGTGTGCCTTCCCTTCATGCCTCTTCCCTGGTTTCCGTCGTCCGCCTTCGCATATACAGCTAAACACAAGACCACAGGCGCACACAAAACCCCTGAAACTACGCACTTAAATGGGTCGTTCAAAGCAAGTGTTATCGGGTTGCTGCTTTTAAATGAATGTCAACTCCTAATGGGTTCAGTTTCTGGGCAGCACTCTTTCCCGCCTTCCCGGAGCGAGGTGAGGGTTAAACAATCCCGGTTCTCTCTCCGGGTCCTCGATCGCTTTCTCCCCTCCCCTCCCCTCTCCTCGGCTCCATCTCCTCGCCCCGTCCGGCGGGTCTCGAGGGTTGCTGCTGCGCTCCCTCCCTCTGCCCGGTCGTCCCTTTGATCCTTTCTTTCTAGCCCCTATTCCCAGAAGCTCCAGAAAATACCTCCTTTTTCCCCCTCGGCACGTCACTTCCCTCCCTTCTCCCATCTCCCGGTCGGGAGAGCGAGAGCGGGTTCCCCGCTAGAGGCCAGCACTTCCTCAGTCTCGTCCCTCCCACCGCCGAGCAGAACCCCGAGAGAAAGAAGGGAAAAAAAGAGGAGAAAGAGAGCGAAAGAGGGGGGAAAAAAAACCCACGACAACCCCGGGGCCTGGAGCGCAGAGGCCCGGGAGCGGCGTCGCCATGGCAACGGGCGCCGGCAGGAAACGAGGGACTCGAGCGAGGGAGGGAGGAGGGGGAGGAGGGCGCCGAGGGGAGGGGAGGGGCGGGGGAGGGGTCCGGCTGCCCCGGAAGCACCTCCCCGTCAGCCCCCTCCTCCGGCCCGGCCCGCAGCCCCCGGCCTGCAGCCCCCACCCTCTCGGCCCGGCAGGAAGTGACAGGCCCGGAGCGAGCCCCGGAGGCCTGGCGGAGCCGCGGCCGGGCCCGCACCCGGAGCGGCGGGAGGGGCGGGGAGCCGCGGCCGCGCCGGGCACCTCCCACCCCGCCCTCGGCGCCCCCGCCCCTCCAGGAAGGGGAGGAGGCGAGGGGAGCCCGCCGCGGAGACCGAGCGAGCCCCCCGCCCAGCCCGGCGACTGGGGACCCCGGCACATGAGGTGGACGCCCCCCGGGAGCGCTTAGGTGCGGAGCCGGGCGCGAAGGTAACCGGGCGGCCGCGGGCTGGGGAGGGGCAGGACCTGCGGGGGCTTGGCCGCGCGGGGATGTTTCTGAGCCACCTCCGTGCGCGTACCGCCCCAGGTACCTCCCCCGCGTCTCGCCCTCCCTGCCGCCGGCGCTCCGCTCTGCGGTCCTTCGGCTTTGCGGGTCCAAGTCTCCGTGCTATTCATTCCGCCGCGCTTCACGCCGTCTGCCCGTCACCCCAGTTGCTTCTGACTGCTCGTTTTCTCATTCATTTTTCCTTCCCCGACTTTGCCTCTCCCAGCCGAGCACGCTGTCTGGTGACCTCCCTGCTTCGGATGGTCCGCTTGGTGCCTCATCCGATTCCTTGACTTCTGTCTGTCTGTCCCTCTCCTGCCCGGCTCGCCGCGATCCGCGAGCACGTTTCGCCGCTCACTTGGGTCACTTCACTCCTGGCTCCGCTCCATCCGTTCGCCGCCCTCGGGGTCTTTGACTCCTCGTTGGAACCTCATTTTCGTCGAGGTTCTGTGTACGGCGAGGACCCGTGGGCGCTGACCATCCCCGTTCTCCGGATCACTTCCATTTCTTTGGCACAGTCTTCCCGCAGCCACCCCTTCTCCTGCCGCCCTTCCGATGCCCGTACTTTCTGTAAGACAGAGTTTTATGTTTAGGGAACTTTATTCCCTCCAACTCTTGGCTCAATGGGCCCACCATCAGGTCCACTTCACTGTCTTTTCTGGCTCCCTGCTAGAGGTCGGTGCTCCCAACCCAACCAACCCAACCCACCCCACCCCACCCCAACCCACCCCACGCCATGCCACCCCAACCCAAACCAACCCACCCCAATCCAACCCACCCCAACCCAACCCAACCCGTGCACACTCAACTACTACCATTCAGGGCGATCTCAGTGTAGCTATTGTGGGGACCTCTCACTCTTTTCCTTTTGGCATAATTCTGAAAATTTAGATTCACTGTGCCTCCCAAACTTTTTGTCGTTTTCATTTTCCATATTGAATTTTGCCATCCCAACATTGATCACAAATGGATAGATTTACGTGGCTGAGATCCGGGAATCCTAGTTTTGATGTCAGTTTCTCCTGATTTTATTACTTACGCTGGTCCCTTTCCATCTCCATTTTCATCTCACAATCTGAAAGAAAAAACATCAATATGACTTCCATTTTGGGGGAGATGAGGGATCATGCAGTTTATTAGCATTTCCCCCTATGAATGTAGGAATTAATGTCCCCTCCAGCTAGTAAGAGGGTCTCCTGCCTCTGAAGTCCAGTGAACTAAGTCCGTTGATCTATACAACTATGCCTCTAATCTTTACCCACTTTTTTTCTTCACATGCTGATAATGAGGATTCATGGGTCTGTATCTGCTTAGTGCTTTGATATTTTGGTGAAAGATGTGGGAGAAGATAACTAGAGTTTAAGCTGATATGATTTCTCCTCTGTACTTTTTGGGTCATAGCCATGTTTGCAGTCTCATGTGCTATACCTGCAGAGATGGGTAGGGTACTTGCGGGGTAATGATGTGATCAGATGATGCCCGGAATGGAATCGTAAGAAATCTCCACCACTCTGTTTCCAGGGCCAAACAGTTTGATTTTATTTACTTTGTTTTGGATGTCATCATTGTGATCAGTCCATTTTAATAAAACTGTTGACAGACCTTAGCAGAAATTCTGGTTGGATGTTTACATTCCGAAACCAAATAGTGCTTTGCTGACCTAATATTTCCAGGGACCCCGCGTGCCTCAAAAGTAGAGAATATAGTGTCGAGACTTAACAAAAGAGAGAGAAAAAGAATGAACAACCCCCCCCCATTGTCATTTAGTGCTGTTTGGAGGCATATTTCTTATTCCTCATCCCGTGTCTTGTTGCTTAGTTCTTAGCACTGTTTTCATGTGTTTGCAGATTTTATTGTAGATCCCAGCGCATAAATTCTGACTGATTAAGTGAATCAAAAAATTGAGTCTTAGTTTCTTGAAGATGTTCATTGGTGTGTATATAATATGTTTAATACGTGGGAGTCCTTTGTTAAAATGATACAGTACATTCAGCTGTGAAGGTTTTTCTGCAAATGTGGAAACTGAGGCATAAGCATGGAAAGTGACATGCACAGCATGTTATTAGTAGTGGCCCGAGCTGGAACCAGGCAGCTATTTGGGCTGTAGACTAGCTCTTTTACCTCCTCGTTTGTTTTAAGGTTTATTTATTGAAAGTAATCTCTGCACCCAGCATAAGGCTCCGAACTCATGACTTGATGCATGATGATTCAGGAGTCGCATGCTCTTCTGAGTGAGCCAGCTAGGGGCCCCTCTACCTTCCAGTTTTCTGACCTTCCATGATGCATTTAACATATCTGTATCTTAAGCCCCTCCTCTGTAAAATGAGAACAATGAATAGTCAAACCAAATGACACCGTCTTCATCACAGAATTGTTTGAGGAAGTAGCAACGTGTTAATGTAAAGACTTGATACTTACCAGGACAACTTGAACCTCAGAAAACCTTTCTACAATGATAATATAGGGATAATCCTGTGAAAAGTAATGGGGATGAAGAGCCTAGTAGGCAAGAGGAGGCCCCTGGTGGCTCTCAGTGCCTAGTGCCCATTGTTAAGAAGATGCTGATAATGATGTTGCAGATGGAAACAAAAAGGAGATAACTTTTAAGTGGGACTATTTTAAACTGTTAAAGAATGTTATGGGAATGTGAGGTAGCCTTAGCATTATGAGGCTTAAATTCTAGCCATTTGATATTTAATGACAGTCCCAAGGGAAGATGTAAAGGTTTCTTTTGAGACACCGCGTAGCTTCAGAAGATGGTATGGGGAACATAGGGTTGTAAGCGTGTGTGGCGTATTTGGTAATTCTAAACAAACCCAAGGAATCATGGCTAATGGAAAGAAGAGGAAGGGTCTTAGATGACAGAATGGAAACATGAAATCCTAGGGTGAGATCAGGTGTACATCTTCATCCTTCGCTACTCTCCTTTAGGTCTTGAGTCAGAGCCCAGACTTTGGGGACCCTGGACCAGTATCATGGAGACGGAGAGTGAGCAGATCTCCGGGTCCACCAACGGGGGCTCCAGCTCTGGGGGTAGCTCGCGGCCCCAGATAGCCCAGATGTCGCTGTATGAACGGCAAGCAGTGCAGGTGAGGCTCGGCTCGGAGGGGCTGGGATCTGGGAGTCTGGGCTTGCGGGAGGCACAGGTGCTGGGGGAGACTTGCTTTCAGTTCCCTTCCAGCAGACTGGGGTGGTTGGATTAGGTGATGACTAACGCCCCTACCAGCCCTGAGAACCTTAGGAGTTTATAACAGTTTGACCAAGCAACCAGAGAATGAAATTCAGTCTTTAAATAAAAAAATTTTTTTTCGTGTTTATTTATTTTTGAGACAGAGAGACAGAACATGAGTGGGGGATGGGCAGAGAGAGAGAGAGAGAGAGAGACACAGAATCTGAAACAGGCTCCAGGCTCTGAGCTGCCAGCACAGAGCCCGATGCGGGGTTCGAACTCAACAAACCGTGCGATCACAACCTGAGCTGACGTCAGACGCTTAACCAACTGAGCCGCCCAGGTGCCCCGAGATTTCAGTCTTTAAACTGTGGATTGTTTTATGTCATTCAGCTCATGAAGCTAGATTCTTACTACCCATTTCTCTTCACGGATGGTCAGGTTTTTAATCTCTGGTCTTTCTTGTAAATCACCCCAAGTAGTGGAAGTATAAAACCCCTCAGAGTTTTATTTTTAGGCAGATAGTAAATTCCACATTAAAAAAAAATCTGCTTGGGAACGGGGCATTTTACTTAAAATATCTTGGTTGCTAGAACAACTATGCACTTTGTAAAAATAGTTGTAATTATTAAAGAATAAGAACACCGTAAAACCCTAAAGTTAATACTAAAACTGCATTACCAGTATCATCCTTATAATGCCAGTTATTTGAAAATCTTACCTAATAGAATCTTTCCCAAGCCACCATTTACTCTATTTTTCATCATTTTCAACTGCTTGGAGCTCTGGCACCTTTACTGTGTCCCTAGAATATGGACTTTTTTTGTTTCTTCTCTTTATGTTTTCTTCCTTATTTTTATTTTATTTATTTATTTTAAAGTGTATTTATTTATTTGGGGGGGGAGAGCCGGGAAAGGAGAGAGAGAGAGAGAGAGAGGGAATCCCAAGCAAGCTCTGCACTACCAGAGCAGAGCCTGAGGCGGGGCTCGATCTCACGAACTGTGAGATCACAACCTGAGCCGAAACCAAGCATTGGATGTTCAGGCGACTGCGCCACCAGGTGCCCCTTTATTATTTTTTTACAGTAAGCTCTACACCCAATGTGGGGCTTGAACTCACAACCCTGAGACCAAGAGTTGTGTGCTCCAGCTACTGAGCCAGCCTGGTGCCTCTTCTTCTCTTTATATTAATTGGCATCCCATTTGTCTTCAGCTTGTCTAGCCCTAGTTCTTTTCCTTACTGTAGTGTGCATCTCCCCATTCCATTCTGGGAATTAAGAGTTCAAGGGAGTTACAGTGCTTTGCCACACTCCCCCTCTTCCTTTGTGTCTCTCCTTTCCAAATGTCCCTTTCTCAGGGTCACAGTCATTTGCATAGAATAGGGGTTAGAAGGGGCGCCTAGGTGGCTCAGTCTGACTTTGGCTTGGGTCATGATCTCACAGCTCGTGGGTTCAAGCCCCGCGTCGGCCTCTGTGCTGACAGCTCAGAGCCTGGAGCCTGTTTCAGATTCTGTGTCTCCCTTTCTCTCTGTCCCTCTCCTGCTCACGCTCTCTCTCTCTCTCAGAAATAATAAATAAAACATTAAAAAAAAAAGTGATTCTCTCCAAGTGGGTTGATCCTCTCCTCTTCCCCACAGGCTCTGCAGGCCCTGCAGCGGCAGCCCAACGCAGCTCAGTACTTCCACCAGTTCATGCTCCAGCAGCAGCTCAGCAATGCCCAGCTGCATAGCCTGGCTGCCGTCCAGCAGGTGAGAGGTCAGCAGCCAGCTGGCCCGAGAGGGAGGGGTTAGGCGCTCCAGGTGGGCAGGATCGGACTGCCCCATCCCCTGAGTCCGGCCAGAAACTGTGTCTTTCCTGCCCCCTGCCCTCCTGGAGGAGGACGACAGGACCTTAGTGTCTGGGGTTGCGGTAGGAACCGGCACACAGGATGGCTGTGTTCTCTAGCCGCACTGTCCAATATGGTGGCCACTGGCCACGTGTAGCTGGCTGGCACTTAGAGTGCGGCCGGTCCAGGTTGTAACATGGTGGATTTCAGAGTCTTCATATTTAAAAAGATGTGAACACTCTGAGGAGGTCGTTTCCATCGGTTATATGTTGAAATGAGATACATGGGCTTAAATAAAATCAAAGCTAATTTCTCTCATTGCTTTTCACTTTGTAAAAAGCGTGCATGCTGGAATATTATGTATGTGGCTCGCCTTGTATTTGTGTGGGACAGCCCTGGACTAGACTTAACGAATGACTCATTATCAGAGGTTCTTCTTCCACCGAAAAGAAAGTAGGAGGAGGAGGAGAACAGATGACCCGATTGCCCCCGGGGTGGGGGGTGGGGGGAGGTACGTGGGAGTTACTAGGTTAGCATGTGTGGAAATGTCAGCATTACTGGGATAGTGAATATATATTTCCTTGCTCCGTGGTAGAGCCTCTGGCTTCTTATCTGAGATCTCATTTACATTTTGTGCTGAGAAGATTCAGGGTCTTTTCCTTCGTTGTCTCTGCTCTCTCTCGTTTCCTTGTGTCCCCGCCGCTCCCCCACCCCCCCCCCCCCCCCCCCCCCCCCCCCCCGAGCAGGCCACGATTGCTGCCAGTCGGCAGGCCAGCTCCCCAAACAGCAGTGCCACACCGCAGCAGACCACCACCACCCAGGCCTCGGTGAGTACTGCCTGAGTACTGTCTCTGCCTGCTGAGCGGCCCTCTGCCCGGGGTCTTTGTCTCCAGGTCACACAGCTCTGTGCGGCTAATTGGAGAGTGCTAATTATTGAGTTGTCAATGGTATTTATTGCTCTTATGTAGAGAATATTAGTAAAAGGGAAATAACTGCCTTGAATCTATATAGGAAACCTAACGAGGAGGTCTAGGATAGGAGGAAGACATTTGCTGGGGGGGCAGAGGAGATGACAAGGGAAGGAACTAATTTCTGGACGCTTTCCTGAGAAGTGAAGTCAGTTCCATTTTTTTTTTCAAAATTTTAATGTTTATTCATTTTCAAGGGAGGGGTAAGTGGTAGAGAGAGCGGGGAGGGGTAGAGAGAGAGGGAGACACAGAACCCGAAGCAGGCTCCAGGCTCTGAGCTGTCAGCACAGAGCCCAACACAGGGCTCGAGCCCACAAACTGTGAGATCATGACCTGAGCCGAAGTCAGATGCTTAACCGACTGAGCCACCCAGGCACCCCAAGTCTGTTCCATTTTTGTTCCTGTTCCCCTCTCAGCTGTTAATGCTGGTGGGTGGGGACTGGGTTCTTTACTTTGGTCATACCCTACAGTAGCCGGGATGACGGTTTTGGACAGGAAGGTATTATCCATTCCTCCTGGCTCTGAAAATGGGATATTCCGCTCTTGACCGTGTCACTGAATTTGTCCGTGATGTATAGTTCCTTTGACCTTTCCCAAGGCCTTAGTCCTGGTTCCTTTCTGTACCACACAGATCAATCTGGCCACCACGTCGGCCGCCCAGCTCATCAGCCGATCCCAGAGTGTGAGCTCTCCCAGTGCCACCACTTTGACCCAGTCTGTGCTCCTGGGGAACACCACCTCCCCACCTCTCAACCAGTCCCAGGCCCAGATGTATCTACGGGTAAGCCACAAACGCGACCACCGTTGTTGCAGGGGCATAATTGTTAATGGCCTTGGCAAAGCCTCGAGTGAAAGCTATTTTATTTAACCATGATTACCCCGATATGTTAAGACACGCTAATCTACTTCCTAGGCCTTTCTCACCTCTAGAACTATGCTCAGTATTCACAGGTGGCCTGCAGGTTACATTGAGATCCTAAGCTAGGTGTTCGCCTCAACATTTGCCTGGAGTAGTGTCACACATAGTCCAGTCTTTAACCCTGGGGCTCCAGGACCCAAGTTCTGAGTGTCCACTCTTAGCCTGCCTACTTACTGTGCACACGCATACGTGCTCTGCCATCCTCGTGGTCTCCGCTTCTTTGATGTTTGACTCTTCAATATCATTCTGTAGTTTTATATACATTTTAGGTTTCCTTCTGGATGATTCATCGCATACGGAGAATAAGGGTCTCCTGGGTTGGTGTGGCAAGGGGCAGGGCTTAGCAGTCTCCGATCTTCTGTTTATTTTGTCTTGTGGTCCTTCCCTTCCGTTTCTTCTGTCTTTCTTCTCTTCCTCTTGCTTTTTCCTCTGCTCCTCCTCCTCCTCCTCCTCCTCCCCTTGCCAGCCACAGCTGGGAAACCTATTGCAGGTAAACCGGACCCTGGGCCGGAATGTGCCCCTAGCCTCCCAGCTCATCCTGATGCCTAACGGGGCAGTGGCTGCAGTCCAGCAGGAGGTGCCATCTGCTCCGTCTCCAGGAGTTCATGCAGATGCAGATCAGGTCAGTGGCAACCACTTGACCTGGGGGTGGGCCCTGGGGAGGATGAAGGGAATCACCGCGCACCAGGGCTCACCCTGCTGCCCCATTACTGCTTCTCAGGATCCTTGTTTTTTTCTCCCCTTTTCTGAATTTCTATAGAGCCTGAATCCCTCATAGCTCGTGAGTTACTTGAGTGAGGAAGGGAGGCAGGTTGGACTGAAAGCAGCCAATCTGGGAGCCTGTAGATATCCTTACATTCCTTTAGCCCTCTGTGGCTCAGTTTTATTCAGGAAGTCTTCATTCTCTTTCTGTGCTGTGTTCTCTCTGAGAAGGGAATTCTACAGCGAGGTAGACGTCAGGCCGGCCTGGCTGAGTGGCCGGAAGGACGGTTGATTCCCTCTCTTCATGAGTTGCCGTAGCTGCCCACTCTCGACAGTGTGTTTCTGCTCACCGTGTGCCCAGCAAAGTCTTCCTCACCATTGCTTCCCGTGCCTTACCCCCAAAATATGTATAGATATTTCGAGCTTGAAGATTTTGCTTCTTACGGATAGAATATGAATTGGGATATCACAGTCACCTTTTTCATTCTCTTCGGTTGTCAGCAAGTAAATATTGAGCTTGAGCTCTTTCTACTGATGGGCTCAGATATATACCACATACTTTGGAAGATTGAAAAGAAACGTAAGTCAGGTCTTCAAAGGTCTTAGCGAACAAAGAAGTGCCAAGTCAATGGTACTAACTTGGGGTGACCCGTGAGTTTAGAGGCAACTTGGCTGCATTCCTTCCCAGGAGCTTTGGGGACACCCGAGCAGATTCTTGAAGGATGGGTAGGATTTGATTCAGGGTAAGAAGAAAACTGGATAGAGAACAGTGTGTGTGAAGGCATAACACCGTATGTGCCTGAGTGCATCAAGTGGTGACAGCGGACCTGCTGGCAGATAAGGTCGTTGGCCGGGACAAGGCTGAGAGCCGAGTCCCCCACAGACAGCAGGGCCGTGGCTGGCTGTTGAACTGCAGACTAATAGGAGAAGGAGAGCACTTTGGAAAGAATTATCTTCGAACATGTGCCTGGAGAAGAAAGAGAAATTAAGGAACCTCGTAAGAGATTCTCAGGAGTCATTTAGTTACTAGGGTGTGACTTTTGATTTAGGCTGTGGTAACAGCAGTGGGGTCTGAGGATGAGGTTGTGACGGGTTCTGTATCCAGTTCTTTCATTTATCCGTGTATTAATTCATCAGATGCGTGAGTGCCAGTACGTGGAGGGACAGAGCAGCGGCTGAAGGTGTGAATCTGGTATTTGGGTCAGATTGCAAGTCCACAACTTACCGTATGACCTTGGCAAATGGCCTAGCATCTTTTTGCCAGTATAGAATAGCTATTGTTAGATTCCCACGTCAGATTGTGTTGAGGGTTAAGTGAGCTGCAGGGGGTGAGTGCTCGAACAGTGCCTGGACATGGTTGAGTGTTTAGGAGTGCTGGCTATCGTTACTGTGCATCAGACATTCCCTGCCGTGTGTCCCCAGGAAAGTCAGGAACACTGGATTACTTGGGGAAGCGCCAGACATTAAACAAAAAATCACCTGGATGGTTTAATCACTGCTTCGTGAGAAAAGTACGGAGTGCTCTGAGAACACAGAAAGAGACCTCATTTATTTAGCCTTGGGACTGGGGTGGAAAGCAAGAAAGCCGCCCTTGAGGAGGGACATTTAAATTGGACGTCCAGCAAAGACCTGGAAGGACAGTGGTGAAGACTCATGAAAAACCTTGTGTCCAAAGACCCTTTAAATCCAAAGAGGAGGGAAGGAGCTTTATATACGGGAGACTCTAAGAGAAGACCTGCGTTCGTCGAGTTTGGCGAAGGCGGATGGAGACCGCACTGGAGAGGCAGGGGCCTTGGGGACAGTGTTTAGGGCTTGGGGCTTTATGTGAAGGGCGAGGGGACGCCGTGGAAGGTTTGAAACCTGAAAGTGACGCGGAGAGATTTGAGGTTTGTTCATTTGTGTGTTTAAAGATTCCGTTGTCTCCTTGGTGGAGAAATGTGGAACTGGCGTCAGTGTGAGTACAGGGAGAACAGCCGTAGGATGCTTTAGGGAGCGATGGCGTTTGGATTAGGCAGTAGCAAGGGAGATGGACAGAAATGAATTGATTTGAGAAAAACTTAGAAGATCATTGAAAAAGGAAAACGGACTCAGTGGTTGGGGTGGGCGGGTTGAGGGAGGTGCCAGAGATGAGTTCTGACACTGCAGTGTGGTGGCTGCTCGTGTTACTTAGGAGATGAAGACCGGTGGAGAAGCGGATTGAGCGTGAAGTTCACTTGGCTGTGTTTGTGAGTCACTGGGTCACAAGGAGGTCAGCCGTTTTATTATATTTGGTGCTTGAGCTGAGAGGGGAGGTCTGTGAGTTGGAGATAAACATTCAGGAGTAGTAGGCACAGAGAGCTTTTGGGATCACTTAGGGAAAGATACGGGTTGGCAAGAGAAAAGCCTTTAAGGATGAGCCCTGAGGGTTAGGCCGGTTCCTTGGAAAATGGAGCCGTTCAAGGTCAAGTAGAGGGTGACGGATTGGAAAGGGGAGAAGGAAAGAGTGACAGAGAAACAGGAAAATTTGGGTTGTGTAGCGTCATGAGGACAAGGGAGCACAGCGTTAGGAGGAGGACGAGGGGTCTTCCGTCACATGCAGTGGAAAGGGCCAGAAAGATAGAATCACTAACACAGATAGAGAACCGCTTTAGTGGAGTTGGGGGCCTGGAAGTCAGAGCCGTGTGCCTTAAGGGATGGCCGGACAGTGAGAATAAAAGCGGTGTCTGTAAACAGTTACTGCCAGTTTAGCACTCACAGGAAAGGAAGATGAAGCTGGAGTTGGGAGAGTGGGGTTCAGTTGTGGTGGGGGGGCTCCGTTAGTGGAAAGGTTGAAGAGACGGGGAGGAACTCTGTGAGAAGGACGAGGAGTGGGGCCCCGAGTGAAGCGAAGGACTTGGTAGGAGCGAGAGCAGGGAAGAGGGCGGGCGGGTGTTTGTGAGGGGGATGCACAGATTTGGTGATGGAACTCATGAAGTGTGCTCATAGAATGGTTTTATTGTCTCTGCAGGGGTGATGAGGGAGAGGGGGAAGAGCAGGTGGTTCTGAGGTATATAGGAAGACCAGGACAGTTTTAAATACCCATCTGTTATGGAAAAATGGAAAAAAAATTAGAAAAAAAATTGTAAAATTGCCAGATCATAGTAAGTGCCCCAGAACCCAATCCTGATGATTCTTGTACATCTCTTAACATCTGTCTCTACTTTACTGCTTGCCTGAATTCAGGTTCTTATTATTTTTTTATCTGAATTACTTACTGGTTTTCTTTTTTTTTTTTTTTTTTTTANAGAGAGAGAGACAGTGTGAGCAAGGGAGCGTCAGAGAGAGAGGGAGACACAGAATGTGAAGCAGGCTCCAGGCTCTGAGCTAGCTGTCAGCACAGAGCCCGATGCGGGGCTCGAACCCACGAACCATGAGATCATGACCTGAGCCGAAGTCGGACGCTTATCCGACTGAGCCACTCAGGCGCCCCATGAATTACTTACTGGTTTTCTAATTGTCTCTTGACTTCAGCCTTATCTACCTCTAAGCATCTTCCATATTACATCAGAATAAGTTTTTTTTTTTTCTTTCTTTTTTTTTTTTCTGAGAGAGAGAGCATGCATGTGCGTGGGGAGGGGCAGAGGGAAAGCGGGAGAGAGAATCTTAAGCAGCCTCCATACCCAGCGCAGAGCTTGATGCGGGGCTCCATCTCATGACCCTGAGATCATGACCTGAGCCAAAGTCAAGAGTAGAATGCTTAACCGACTGAGCAACCCATATGTATGCCCCCAGAATGAGGTATTTTTTTTTAAATTTATTTATTTATTTTGAGACTGACTTACTTAGCACAAGCAGGTGAGGGACAGAGAGAAGGAGAGACAGAATCCCGAGCAGGCTCCGTGCCATCAGCACAGAGCCCAGTTGCAGGGCTTGAACTCATCAGTGTGAGGTCATGACCTGAGCCGAGATCAAGAGTCAGTTGTTTAACCTATTGAGCCACCCAGGTGCCCCAGAAGAAGATTTTTAAATAAGAAAATATATGTGGTTACAAACGTTATTTTAAATGGTACTTCTGGTGTACCAGATATGTTCAGTCATAACCCTTGGTTCAAGGCGTCCCAACAACAGTCCATTCATGGCCACTTTTATGTACTTACTCAGTAGGTTTTAATGCTGTGATAAGCAATGCCCAGTCCCACCCAGTGCCTGCCCCACCCATGGCAACAGTCATTCTGATTCCTAGGTTCATCCTTCCCTGTGCTCCCCTTTTTATAGTTTTATTGTGCTTAGATATATTTCTAAAAAGTACTTTTTATTATGGAAAATTTCAAACTTATGCAACAGGAAAAAATATGAATCCCAACCACCTACAGCATTTATTAACATATGACTTCTAGCCAGGACCCTTCCCTCCACGTGTGGATTATTTAGAAGCAAATTCCAGATGCCATATTTGAGATATATATACATCTGTATATTAATTTATTTTGCATTTAATGTAGAAAGTCTGTGTTGTATATAATTTTGGGGGACTGGTTTCTTTTTTTTTTTTAATTTTTTCTTTTTATTTTTTTTATTTATTTCTAGGAGAGAGAGAGAGAGAGAGAGATTGAGCGTGAGCAGGGGAGGGTCAGAGAGAGAGGGAGTCACAGACTGAAACAGGCTCCAGGCTCCGAGCTGGCAGTCAGCACAGAGCCCGACGCGGGGCTCGAACCCACGAACCGCGAGATCATGACCTAAGTGAAAGTCGGACGCTTAACCGACTAAGCCACCCAGGCGCCCCAGGGGACTGCTTTCTTAATAGCTTATTGACAAGATCCGTCTGTGTTGTTGCATGTCATCGTATTTTGATTTCTATGTAGTATTCCATTGTGTGAATATATGACAGTTCATTCATCTTCTGATAACGGTCATTTAGGTTGTGTCCAGGCTTTTGTCACCTGTGAATAGTGCTGCTGTGAACATTCTTAGACATGCCTCCTGGGGTACTCAGCAAGGGTTTCTTTTGTGGAATTCCTAGATTACAGGCTGTGTAAATAGTCAACTTTATTTATTTATTTATTCATTCATTCATTATTTATTTCCAAATTTTAATTTAAATTTTGGCTAATTAACATTTAGTGTAATACTGGTTTCGGGAGTAGAAGAATGTTCAACTATAGGATATGATGCCAAACTGTTTTCCCAAGTGGCTGTACTGATTCACACTTCTGTCAGCACCATTTAAAAGAATGATCTCAACTGTAGATTTGTGTCTCTTTATTCTGATTCACGTTCTTCAGTGGCTTCCTGTAATCTGTTAGGTACTTGTCATTCCTCTCTTCATATTTTGGAGGCACTGTGCTAGGTGCTGGAAAGAGAGCAACAGAGAAGACAGATAAACCTTGTTTCCAAACTGAAGTTCAGACTCTCCCAGTTGTAATACACGAAGCCCTTCCTGATCTGGTACCTTTCTACCTCCCCAGCCTAAGTCTACCTTCTGAGCTTCATTTCTTGGCACTCGCTCTACCTCACCCCAAACATAATGAAATATTTAAAATTCAAACGCTCTGCTCTTTCTTGGCTTGATGTTCTTCCAGATGTTGTTACCTATATCTTCAAACCTCTGCCTTCACTCTTACCCATTGAGTTCTCAGATCAAACAAGTGACTGTTTTAGGAAGTCTTCCCTAATCTCCCTGGTCTGACTCCGTCTTCCTCCTCTGTGTTCCCGTGGCAGTTTGTGCATTATCTCTGCATCATGTGATAAGGCTATTGGTGATTTTCTGGTCTTTTCTGGTGGGAAGTATTCATGAAGAGGAGGGATAGTGTGTCTTTCATCCCCACATTTCCAGTCTCCAGGGTACGACCTGAGGCATAGTAGGTATTTGGTAGATGCTGAAGGAATGACTGCAGAGGAAAGGGAAAGTCCGAGACCTTTTGAAGGAATAAATGAGTGAACTTCGTGATAGGTTTGATAGCGACTGAAGGAGACTGAAAATCAAATGTGATTCAAGTCCCTCCCTGGATGACTGGAAGGACTTTAATGTCTGTAATTGTAAAGGTGGGGGGTACGGGTTCTGAGGGGGGCTGGGGAATATCTGTGACTCTGTTCAGTGCTACTAAGTCATCATGGAAGTCTTTGACCTTAGTGCTTCCTGTTCCTTTTTTTTCAGTATACCTCTTTCTTCTTATCTTTCAGGTGCAGAATTTGGCAGTGAGGAATCAACAGGCCTCAGCCCAAGGACCCCAGATGCAAGGCTCTGCTCAGAAGGCCATTCCTCCTGGAGCCTCCCCTGTCTCTAGCCTCTCCCAGGCCTCTAGCCAGACCCTAGCTGTGGCTCAGGCATCGTCTGGGGCCTCAGGCCAGTCCCTGAACCTCAGTCAAGCTGGGGGAGGCAGCGGAAGTAGCCTCCCAGGGTCCATGGGTCCAGGTGGTGGCGGCCAGGCGCCCGGGGGTTTGGGTCAGTTGCCTTCCTCAGGAATGGGTGGTGGTGGGAGCTGTCCCAGGAAGGGCACAGGAGTGGTGCAGCCCTTGCCTGCAGCCCAGACAGTGACTGTGAGTCAGGGAAGCCAGACGGAAGCAGAAAGTGCGGCGGCCAAGAAGGCAGAAGCAGATGGGGCCAGTCAGCAGAACGTGGGCATGAACCTGACACGGACAGCTACCCCCGCTCCCAGCCAGACCCTTATTAGCTCAGGTAAGTGGGTCACCTCAGTCTTCCCAGTACATTTCTTTGCCTTTTTTCGTGCTTCTCTTGGTCCTGGAGTAGTGGAAGGAAAGAACGTCCCTGGAGCCTTGATCATATTAGTCAGGGAGAGAGGAGGACCAGTGATAGAGCTAGGTCGTGCCTGTTTCCACCAGGCAGCAATCAGTTTGCAAACAATTGCTCTGTCCCCTTCTTAAGCCCTGAGTTTGTCAGTTTACCCACCCTGCCCATTTGTTTGCCCAGGTCTTAATGAATTGCCTACTGTGTTGTAGGAGGCATTAGAGATGTGTCTTTTTTTTTTTTAAGTTTATTTTGAGAGAGAGAGAGCGAGAGTGCTAGGAGGGGAGGGGCAGAGAGAAGGGAAGGAGGAGGACCCCAAGCAGGCTCCACACCTGCCAGCGCAGAGCCCGATGTAGGGCTTAGTCTTGTGAACCGTGAGATCATGACCGAGTTGTACGCTTAACCGGCTGGGCCACCCAGGCGCTTCTGGGATGCATCTCTGAAAAACAGATTCCTTGTCCTCATGGCACTTACGGTTCCACTTCAGGGATGACTTCTCTTCTCACTATTGAATGATGATTAGTTGGACCAGGGTAGACAGAGACAGTGCAGGGACCTTAGAGCCCCTCGGACCAGTGAGCAGAGCCACAGTCTGGTGCAGTCACCATGTGATCATCTGTGTCAGTGATAAGGGTAAAATAAGAATAAATAAGATTAACCCCAAATGGTTTAGACTTCTTTGATTTTTAAGATTTTTTTCAAGTTATTTGAGATAGTGTGCAAGCATGTGCACACTAGTGGGGGAGTGGCCGAGAGAGAGAGAGAATCCCAAGCAGGCTCTGCTCAGCTTGGAGCCCGACGTGGGGTTCGATCTCCTGACAGTGAGATCACGATCTGAGCCGACATCAAGAGTCGGACACTTAACTGAGCCACGCAGCTGCGCTGTACTTGCTTTTAGACTGTGGTTAGATACCGTTAGATGTGTGCACCTTACTTGGGAGTGTTTATGTTCGTCTGCCTCATTTCTAGCACTTTAGTTGTTGCTGTATTTGAATAATTTACAAGAAGTTAGATGTTAATTATCAGCTCTGTTACTACTAACCTAGTATTTATATACCATAGCACGTCTCTTTCCAAAGGGCTTTTGTCTCACAAACGCTCTCTGGACAATCTGGGAGAATACGGGGGTGGGGGGGGGGGAGATCGTCACCCTCACTCGCAGTGAGGGAAACTGGGAAAAGTCGGAGCTTACAGCTGCTGACTCTTAAAGACTCGTAGGTGGGGACCTAAACTGACGAGTCTGAAAAACCGAGGCATTCACGGGAAAATGTTGGTATCTTTACCACTGAGGACATTTATTCTTTCAGGTGACTGGCTATTAAGTCTTTCTCATGTGCCAGGCACTGGGCTCGGTTCTGGGGATGTAAAAAAATGAAAAAAGCGGGGACTCACCCCTTGAGGAATTCAGTCAAATCACACAGAAGATGGGCCATCCTTTGCTGGGTCGCACTAACAGGATTTAGCATAGCAAAGAAGCTAGAAGTTAGATGGATGTAAGAAATGACCACGGGCTTTTAAACGATTGGGCAAGCGAGTTCTTTCCTGGAGGTCCTTGGTTCTGGATGGAGACCGTCATGTCCGCCCCAGAGGAAGGAGTATGAATGAAGTGATCTCTTGGGTCCTTCCCTAGTGCATTTCCATTCACCCTGGGATCCCGAGACCAAGTGCACTTTGGAAAGTTGATGTTTTAATTTGTGACGAGGATTCTCTTCTGCTCCTCCCCTCTGTCCCGTGCCGGGCGCGTCCCCGCAGCCACCTACACGCAGATCCAGCCCCATTCCCTGATTCAGCAGCAGCAGCAGATCCACCTCCAGCAGAAGCAGGTGGTGATCCAGCAGCAGATCGCCATCCACCACCAGCAGCAGTTTCAGCACCGCCAGTCCCAGCTCCTGCACACCGCCACGCACCTCCAGCTGGCCCAGCAGCAGCAGCAGCAGCAGCAGCCGCCTCCGCCGCCGCCGCCGCCGCCGCCGGCCACCACTCTCACTGCCCCTCCGCCGCCGCAGGTCCCGCCCACGCAGCAGGTCCCGCCCTCCCAGTCCCAGCAGCAAGCCCAGACCCTGGTGGTTCAGCCCATGCTTCAGTCTTCATCCTTGTCCCTCCCGTCCGACCCAAGCCCCAAGCCCCCCATCCCCATCCAGTCTAAGCCGCCGGTGGCGCCTCTCAAGCCTCCTCAGTTAGGGGCCGCCAAGATGTCCGCCACCCAGCAACCGCCGCCCCACATCCCGGTGCAGGTCGTGGGTGCCCGGCAGCCGGGGACGGCCCAGGCGCAGGCCCTGGGGTTGGCGCAGCTGGCGGCAGCCGTACCTACTTCCCGGGGGCTGCCCGGCTCAGGGCAGCCCGGCCAAGCCCATCTGGCCTCCTCGCCACCGTCGTCCCAGGCTCCTGGTGCGCTGCAAGAGTGCCCTCCCGCCTTGGCGTCTGGGATGACCCTCGCCCCTGTGCAGGGCACAGCGCACGTGGTCAAGGGCGGGGCTGCCGCCGCCTCGCCTGCTGTAGCCCCGGTACCTACAGCCTTCTACATGCAGTCCGTGCACCTGCCGGTGAGTGCCGGCTGGCGGCTTTGCGGGCCCTGGCGCCTTTCAGCGGGCCTGGGGCTCACTGCAAGTAGAGCTTCACGGAGGAGGGGAATAGGGGGAAGAGGGGCGCCTGGGTGACTCAGTCGGTTGAGCATCTGATTCTTGTTTCGGCGCAGGTCTTGATCCTGGGATGGTGGGGTCGAGCCCCGAGATGGCCTCTGCACTGAGCGTGGAGCCTGCTTGGGACTCTCTCCCTCTCGCTCTGCCCCTCTCCCCTATTCGCACTCTGTCTCCAAAAAATCAAAAAGTTGGGAAGGTTAAGATACTGATACTGATCATTTAACCTTCATTTCCTCCTTGGAAGCCCATCTCCTAGCACAGCCACGCTGGGGTGAGGACTTCTGAATTGGGAAGGAGGAGACCAGATTCAGTCCATAACAGATGCATAATGTGTGGGATGCAGTGGCATGTGTGAATATGGTCCTGCATCAGTTCTCTTAGTCCTTGTGTCGTTTCATCTGTGACAATTATTTGTTACAAACCCTAAAACTTAAAAGGATACAGGTATTTGCTTCTTTGGTAAGAGAGGCATTACCAGAAGGTGAAGATACTGGTATTAATTTGTTCCTTTTGTAAGAGAGAGACATTCATGTATATAATAATCTGTACTTCATACTCCTGAGTTTGCTACCTGAATTCATTCCGGGTTTGTGGATCTGTATTAAGTTAGATCAGTTGCTTAAATGATCTTTGGAAAAACAGTGGTTCTCCGTTGGGCCATGACGAATCCAGGGTTCTGAGGTCCAGGTCAGGACTAAACGTGACATTTTCTTTTGTCCTGATGTAGAAGATACACGTCTGGGAATGACCAGGAATTCTCGTGTACCGTGGGGAATATACACGTTGGGGAGTCTGGAAATCAGGAAATTGTCATTGACATCATGGGAGTAATTGAGGTTCTTTATTCCCCTTCACTCATCAATCTTGGTTTCTTTCCTGTTCTTAACTCTCTAGAGCAAACCCCAGACATTGGCTGTCAAGCGAAAGGCAGAATCTGAGGAGGAGAGAGACGATGTCTCCTCACTGGGTTCAATGCTTCCTGCCAAGTCATCTCCAGTAGCAGAGAGCCCAAAGGCCGTGGAGGAGAAGAGCAGTCTCGGAGGTGAGTGACCGGCTGGTGCAGTGCAGAGATTAGGGAACTGTTCGGAGTGAGCTTTGAAGATAAACCTGGTTCTGTAGAGTATGGGACTGGGGGCCTGAACTTGGACAAATGAGTAGATCTGACCCCGGGAACCCCGGGGTGAAGGCCCAGAGGCAAACGCGTGTTGTTGTGGAAGGCCACACTGGTGTGGCTAACAGACAGCTCAGGTCCGTCATCCCCCATCTGCTTCTTAGTCTGTGTGTGTTTTCCAGAGAAAGCTGAGCCGGTGACCGCTGTGAATGCCAGTCCTCCAGGTGGCGAGCTAGTAGCCTTGGCTCCGGCCCCGTCCGCACCCCCTCCCACACTAGCCCTGGTGTCCAGACAAATGGGCGACTCGAAACCCCCACAGGCCATCGTCAAGCCCCAGATTCTCACCCACATCATCGAAGGTTTCGTCATCCAGGAAGGAGCCGAGCCTTTCCCGGTGAGGGCAGGGCCAGAAGGTGGGACTTTCAAGTGGGGACTTGGCCTGAGTATCATCTTTCTGAAGCCCACTCAAATCCAAAGTCTCAGAACTATTTAATTATTAGAGAATGGTTTGGTTCTCTTGTTTGTATGGTTAAGCTGGAAAGAAAAAGAAAGAAGGGAAGCATCAAGGAAAGGATATGTGTAGACCAGGAAAAATGAAAATGTTGGGGAGAGGAGGAGAAAAGGGAAAAGCTGAACGTTGAGCTCTGCAAACTGGTTTGTGTCGTGCTGAAGCAGTCTGTGGTGGAGAAGTCACCGGACTTTTCTAGATGCATGTACTTACAGACCCAGGCCTAGAACACAGATATCTGCAGCTTTGGAAGGAAAAGGAGAGCCAAGGTCGAAACCTGTTTTCCGGGGGCTTATTGGAAAAGAGCCAGTCAGGCAATCTTGATCGTCGTGTTGAAAACGTTTCCCTAGGGGCGCCTGGGTGGCTTAGTCGGTTAAGCGTCCGACTTTTGCTTAGGTCATGATCTTGCGGTTTGTGGGTTCGAGCCCCACATCGGGCTCTATGCTGACTGCCAGCTCAGAGCCTGGAGCCTGTTTCAGTCTGTGACTCCCTCTCTCTCTGACCCTCCCCTGCTCACGCTGTCTCTCTCTCTCTCCTAGAAATAAATTAAAAACATAAAAAAAAAAAAAAAAAAAAAGAAAATGTTTCCCTAAACCGGACTTGGCCGTTAACTCAGAGAACCAGGCAAAGACGACTGGGAAATGCGGGGGGAGGCTTCTGAGAAGCAGGAAGGAAAGCAGCCAACTTAACTGTAAACTTGTCTGCCACAGGTGGGCTGCTCTCAGTTACTGAAAGAGTCTGAGAAGCCGCTGCAGACCGGCCTCCCGACAGGGCTGAATGAGAATCAGTCAGGTGGCCCCTTGGGAGGGGACAGCCCGTCTGCTGGTAAGTGTTAATGTGGAGGCCCATCTGGGGAACGAGGCTCATGGAGATGCGTTTGGCTCAGTGTACAATAGGAATTATTTGAAGTGGGAATTCTGTGAAGTCCATTCATACCCAGGAACTATAATTAAATACCACAATGTGTAGAATCACACAAAAGGAGTTCCGTAGGATTAGACTGATATCTTCCAAGCTAGCCTCTTGAATTATTTAATTTTTTTCAAAAGATCAAAAATAGGATACTTCTCCGACTTTGGCTCAGGTCATGAGCTCATGGTTCATGAACTCAAGCCCCACATCGGGCTCTGTGTTGACAGCTCAGAGCCTGGAGCCTGCTTCAGATTCTGTGTCTCCCTCTCTGCTTCTCCCCTGCTTGCTCTCTCTCTCTCTCAATCACTCTCTCAGAAATAAATAATAAAAACATTTAAAAAAATAGGATACTTAAGAAAAACTTTTTATATTTCTTTTTGAGACACAGAGAGTGTGAGTGTGGAGTGGGGGAAGGGCAGAGAGAGAGGGAGAGAGAATCTGAATCAGGCTGTGTACTGAGAGCAGAGAGCCCGATGTGGGGCTCAGACTTGAACTATAACGTCGTGACCTGAACTGAAGTTGGACGCTTAACCGACTGAGTCACTCAGGCGCCCCAAGTTCTCGTTATTCTAGATTTTATAATATGCATTAAGCACTGTTGACGTTTCCCTCACTGCCGTCGTAAACTTTTGTTGGGAGAGGGATCTTGTATCTCTGAGTAATTAGTTCCTCCGTCTTGTTCTCTAATGCAGTCTTGTCTGAAATCTGAGAGTATATGAATTAGGATGATGTTAAGTCTTCGGGGCGCCTAGGTGACTCAGTTGGTTAAGTGTCCGATTCTTGGTTTAGGCTCAGGTCACGATCTCACGGCTAGTGAGTTCGAGCCCCGAATCAGGCTCTGCGCTGATGCTGTGGATCCTGCTTGCGAGTCTCCCTCTCCCCTCTCTGCTTCTCCCCCACTCAATGCGCATGTCTGCTCTTCTGTCTTAAAATACACACACATAAAACAAAATTAAAAAGAGGCTAAAGCCAGTCATCTAAAATGGAAACAGTCTGTCCTAAGTCCGAAGACCGGGTCATCCCTGAGGGACACATCTTTATGATTTTGGCTTCTAGACGTTAGGCTGTAGGGCCTGTGACTTAGGTCGTGCGGTCCCTTGGGGGTGACCCCTGGGAGTGATGAGAGTGAGCCCGGTCGGCAACAGAACCGGTGCCCCTCTGCAGCCGTGCCTTGTTTTCCAGAGCTCGAGAAGAAGGCCAACCTCCTGAAGTGTGAGTACTGTGGGAAGTACGCGCCTGCAGAGCAGTTTCGCGGCTCCAAGAGGTTCTGCTCCATGACTTGCGCCAAGAGGTACCACACCCCCTGCCCCCACCTCCGGCACCGGCTCTTCCGTCAGCCAGGGCACGCCCCCGTTCCTTCCTTCCCTGGGATCCCCTCGCCGATCGCTTCCCGTGTCTTTGCCTGTCTGCTTACCCGGCCGCCCCCGAGTCAGTTCTGACGCCAGCTTGGCCCTCGCAGCCCTTGGCCATCCCGCAGCCCTTGGCCATCCCGCGCGTGTCCTGACCCGCAGGTATAACGTGAGCTGTAGCCACCAGTTCCGGCTGAAGAGGAAAAAAATGAAAGAGTTTCAAGAAGCCAACTATGCCCGCGTTCGTCGGCGCGGACCCCGCCGCAGTTCCTCTGACATCGCCCGCGCCAAGATCCAGGGCAAGCGCCACCGGGTGAGCTGCTGGTGGCCGGCCAGCTCCCTCCCAAGCGGCCCCTTCCCTGCGTCCTCCCTTCCCCGGTGATCCCTTCGGGGGTGAAAGGGAGCGGGGGACCGGACCTCATGGTGGTCTTGATTGTTTTACCTCGCATCCCAACACATCCCGACCTCTCGTCTCCTTTCACCTGGTGACCGGCTCGTGTCTCCGTTAATCTTTACATTACATTTGGGAAAACCCAAATTGTTGGAAGAAGGGAGCCTCAGGAAAGCCATAGGACATACTTGAAAGTTACGTGGGAGTGGACTGGTGGCTCCGGGCGTTTGCAAGCCAAGTACAGTTTTTTCACTCATCTGCTACTAGTTTCCCCTCCGTGCCCAGGATTAGCTTACAGCCAATGGCCAGGGAGGGGAGAGGGAGGCCTCACGACCCATGTTCACGACCTCACTGCTTCGTGCTGCTCTCCGCAGGGCCAAGAGGACTCTAGCAGGGGTTCAGATAATTCCAGTTACGATGAAGCACTCTCTCCAACGTCCCCTGGGCCTCTGTCGGTGAGAACTGGGCACGGAGAACGTGACCTGGGGAACCCCAATACAGCGCCACCGACGCCGGAATTACACGGCATCAACCCAGTGTTCCTGTCCAGCAATCCTAGCCGTTGGAGCGTGGAGGAGGTGTATGAATTCATCGCCTCTCTACAAGGTATTGAGGATGTGACCAGTAGAATGCGGATCCCATACGGGGCTCGTTTCCTTAGGTCGCCCCACATGGGCCTTTGTGACAGGGAACAGGGTGGACTCTGAAATCAGTGGGGACTTAAGTACCATGTGATGAAGGCGCTACCCTTGATCTTTATCCAAGTTACTTGTCCACAGCCTGGTTTCTTAATTTCCTTCTGGGGTGATGGTCCTCGACTGTGTCAGCAGTCTTGCAGCGTTTGATGCTCACCTTCCTGTTTCTTGCTGATCATTTTTGGATAACGTGTATTTTTTACGTGTGATTAGGATCGCTGTCATGGATAGAAGACTTTTCCCACTAGAGGGACTAGGAATTAAGGGGCCGTTGTCAACTCCACACTCTTTAAGCAGGATTGTTTAAAAGCTACTCTGGAAAAAGGATTGTTTTCTTCAGAAAACAAAATCATCATACCTGACTTGCCATTTGTCTGAATTCTGGGCCTTTCAACAGAAATGCCTCAAAGGCTCTGAACTTTGTTTTTGTGCTAGTATAAAAGAAAACCTAGATTTTGCTCCTTCCTTTTCTTCCCTCCTCAAGCTGTTTGAATGAAGTTATTTCTATGATTGGAAATAACTTCATCTCAGGTTTCTTAAATGTTTATTTTTGAGAGAGAAAGAGAGAATGCGAATGGTGGACAGGCAGAGAGGGAGAGAGAGAATCCCAAGCAGTTTCCATGCTGTGTGCGCAGAGTCAGATATGGGGCTTGAACTCACAAACCGTGAGATCTTGACCTGAGCTGAAATTGAGCTGACACTTGACTGAGCCACCCAGATGCCCCAAGGCTTTTTGTTTTTGTCTTTATTTTTTATTTAAAAATCTTTTAACGTTTATTTTTGAGAGAGAGCATAAGCAGGGGAGGGGCAGAGAGCGAGGGAGACACAGACCCTAAAGCAGGCTCCAGGCTCTGAGCTGTCAGCAGAGTCCGATGTGGGGCTCGAACCCATGAACCGTGAGATCATGACCTCAGCCGAAGTCGGATGCTTAACTGACTGAGCCCTCCAGGTGCCCCCGTTTTCATCTTTAGTTCCTCCCTCCTGACCTCTGGTGCTGGTTTCTCATACACGTTCCCACCGTTCCTCCTAGGCTGCCAGGAGATTGCAGAGGAGTTTCGTTCCCAGGAGATCGATGGACAGGCCCTTTTATTACTTAAAGAGGAACATCTCATGAGTGCCATGAACATCAAGTTGGGCCCTGCCCTCAAGATCTGCGCCAAGATAAACGTCCTCAAGGAGACCTAAGGTGGCCCTCTTGCACAAACAAGCCGACGGCAGACACTCCCTACTGTCCGGGTTCTACCCTGGTGCCAGCAGACTTAACAGGGAAGAGAGAGCTGTTCCATAGAGAGCCCTTCTGTAGAGGGGTCACCGGGGCAGTGAAGGGAAGTGCAGGGACTGCTTGCTGGTGCTACGTGGCCGCAGCTGTGACGTTTCCTCCACGTTCTACCTTCATTTTTAAAGATTACGGTTCTCGCTTTTCTCATTCCCCCCCCCCCCCCCCCATCCCGTCTTTATACAAGAGGCAGTCCAGAGGGGTAGGACTGCTCCGCCTTATCCTGGAGTGGAGGGTCTAGCCAGGGTCTCAGCTCCCTGAGGGGAGGAGCGGACGGGAGGGCAGGAAACGTGGGACACTGGTGTGCCCCCTGCTCCAGGAGGGGGAGCCGGGCTTTTCCCAGCGGATGGGACGCAAGCAGCAAAATCTGGCACCCCTTCCCTGTGGACCGCCCAGCCGTGGCCCCGGGTCTCTGTCGTCGCCCCCTTGGTGCCCAACACTTTCTCCTGTGTTCAAGGCAGGGTCACGGGCCCGTGCAGAGGCTTGGTTGGTGCCATCTGACATGCCTGGGGTGGGGGGTAGGGGCGAAAGTGTTGGGCACACGCGTGGCCGTCATTCGTTCCGCATCTCCGTGCTCCCTTCAGTTTCTGTGTGTCTCCTCCCCTCCCTTTCTTTTTGGTTCCAGCTCTGCTCTGTCCTATAGCTTTATTCACACAGGAGTGTGTGGGGCTGAGGCCAGGAGTATAAGTACCTGCCTTGGGCGCTATTCCTTATACAACAAAAAATATTAAATATTTTTTTCCTCCTCAGTAAAAGGATAAAAATTGGTCTCAGTTGTCTCTTACTCCATTCCGGGTCTCTGCCCTTCTCTCGTACAAAAGACTAGGGCAAGTTGTTTGGTTTTTTTTTTTTTTAATCTTTTAAGTGTTTTTGTACAAAAGAATGTAGTCCCCCCCCCCTTTTTTTGCATTTTTAAAACACCAGTGGGGGAGGGATGCAACAAGTAACAAAAAAGATATTTTTATAACATTATTTTCCCTGTTTAGAAAGAAGGAAAAAAAAAATCATTCCAAAAGTACTTAAAAGTCCAAAGATGAAACAGTTCCATTTTCTTGCCTAAAAGGCTAGCCGTGTTACTCTTCACTGGCCCAAGTTCACGGTTACAGAAAGATTGGGCCAGGCTTGTGGGCACGTGGCCTAAACAAAAAAGTAGAAGCATCAGAGGCTTCCAACCCCCGCGCCACAGAGCTGCTGTGGCCAAGGAGGTCCTTCCCTGAGCCGGAAGGGATGGGCGCAGCAGCGTTCCACACCCAGGGCACAGGCTGGCAGGGCCCTGGACGCCCCACCTCTGCTTTCATTCCCTTTCCAGAAGGTTTTAGGGGGGGTAGGGCTGGGTGGGGGATGGTCGACATGCCTGGGAAGAAAGTGCAACATACTTAGAAGTACCAGTAGTGGGAAACACCTTGGAAGAAAAGCTCTGGCTTTTACTGCGAGCGGGAGAAGACAGCCCTGGGGGAGGCCTCTCTACAAGTGAGCAGACTTCCTCTCCTGGAGCCCCTGTGACACATGCGGTCCCAGTCACTTTCCCTTTTCGACGGACGAGACTTCCCACCACGTGCGGACTAATGACCAGGAGGCCCCAGTCCGGGGCCCAGTTCCAGCCATAAGGTCACTCCCATGCCACAACGTTCCTCTAAGCGAGAAGGAAACTCTCCCCACCCTCAGTCCCGGAGGTGGGAGAAGGGCTGCAACCTCTCCAGGCTCAGAGCAAATGGCAACAATACTTGGACTGCAGGGTAGTTCCAAGCAGCAAGGAATCCCATCCAGATTCTCACGGAGACCCCTGCAGGGTGCAGAGTCACGGCAGGAAAGCAATCAAACCTTGTATAAATAATGTTTCTTGCCTTTTTTTTTTTTTTAATTAAAGAAATCCAGTGTCTCAAAAACTTGTGAAAATGTGTTTAAAAATGTCAGGGAGCCTGCCACACTTTTTTGCTCACTGTAACTATCCTATTCGTACCTTCTGACACCAAGAGATAGTGTGACGGCCTCCTTTGCGCAGGCCCCGTTATTTTACCTCTGTCGTGTAGCTGTACCTCTCTAGAGGAAAAACAATAGGAGAAAAAGGAAAGGCCTTTCTGCTAGTGAGAAGAGAATGCAAATCCAAAGCAAACTGGAAAGCAAGAGCAATAGAAGGGCGGGCTGAGAGACTGGAGTGGGCACTGCTTTAAGAAATCTGGCTGAGTACGCTTTGGTTTGGGGGACTGAAGGAGCGGCTGGGCATTTAAAGTGCAATCACATTGGCAATAAGTGATCGTCCCTTTCTTCTGACTCGTCCCCCAGCTGATCATCCCCCACACCACGATATGCAGCAGGCACATTTCGGGGTTTAGAACGGCACACAAAGTCACAACCGTCCTGTAGAGAGAAGCAAAGGAAGCAAATGATGATCGGGAACAACCAACTTAAAGGCGAGGCAAAATGTACCCACGGGCCAAGAACGTGGCAAGAACTAGGTTTCTTCAGGGACGATGATGAGAAAATCTACAGGCTCTAAGGCCCAGCCTAAACAGAATTTAGTGCTCAGCGGAGGAAAATCCTAACTGCGTCTCATCTTCTCACCATGTAGGCCCCTGAAAGGCTTTACCAGACAGGATCCTAAGTCTAAGCAGCAGTGTTCTTCCAGCCACGTCTTTGGCAAAGGCCAGGCCCTGAGATGCTACGCCACTCACGACTTTACCTAGGGCCAGCGGGTATGCTGGGCTTGCTTTGCTGGGGCTGTTATGGCTTTAGCACCTGAAGTCCCGGGTCCAAGAAACCCCTCAGTCTGGCTAAACTGAGTTGGCTGGTTACTCAGTCTTGTCCGTGGGCTAAAGACTCAGCCAGCAGCCCTGGTACTTACTGCAACCAGGTTGCCAAGATCTTGCCAGAAGGCGAGGTGAGGAAACTGCTCCATTCCCTTGGCGCCCACCACCAGGCGCTGGTACAGGAACCCCCCGATGACATAGACTGCGACCAGGGACGCAAACCTGTTGAGGAACAAAGACCTCTCTACTTCAAGGCCAAGGAAGAGTAAAACCCCAGTATTAGAGATGACCTTTATATTCCTTAGCTGTTTCCTAGTCTCTACTCTGTAAAAATCAGGGGGGGGGGGAAGAGAGAGCAGCTAGCTTCTTTAAAAAGCCAATTAGCAGTGTCTAAAAATAAAAGGCTCAGGAAAAAAGACGACCTTGGTGCATGACTCTCACTTAAGGCCTAGAGTAGTTACAGATCTACAGCTCCATTTCTGTCAAAGTTCTGCTCATCTAATGGGATCGACTTAGAAACTGTCCAGGCCTCCTGTAAGGGAGCTAAAAAAGCACCTCCAAATGCTAATACTCAGTAGGTGCGAAACATTAAATCTCATTTTTTAAGGTACTTGCACAGTCCGAGTTTAAAGAGGAATTTCATGCAGAGCTTCCCCCCTCTAATCATAATACAGTGCGTGCTCGCCCGTGTGCCTGTGCGCGCGCACACAATTTGTGTCTAAACAGCACCAAGTGATTGAGTCGAAAGGGAAAAAGGTGCCGTTTGGAAGGACAAAGGAAAAGGCACTCACGTGACTAGTAAGATGGAGCCCACGCTGAGGCGGGAGATCTCTGGGGAGCAGGCCAGGCTGCTGTCCATCTCAAAGAGGTAGAAACAGTCTTGGACTTTGCTGCGCTCCTCCGACACAGGGGTAAAGCTGTCCTGATGAAGAAAGGCCAGAACACAACACGTATGTGGTGAACTGTTTCCTTCAGACTATGGTTTAAAAAAAAACAACAAACCCCACACGCCAAGACAACTGCTCGCTCTCGGTTCAATAACCTATGTTCCACCCACGACAGGGGAAGGCAGGTGTCTGCAAAGCAAGGAAAAACCGCACTTCCAACCCATCCCAGCGTATCCTGTCCCCTCTGGAGAACAACCCCCACCCTCAGCTTAGGTCAGTCCCATCCCCGGCTCTCTAGGCCCGCGTGCCCTGGACGCCTCACCGCCAGGGTGTGTCGATTGCAGGAGATCATCACCACCGCACGGCGCTGCTCCATGCCGCAGTGCCTGTCGTATTCATCGCCCCCTTTATAGATGAGCATGATCCAATTACCTGCGAGAGATAAGGAAAGTGGAGCTTTGCGGCGGGGGGGGGGGGGGGGGGGGGGGAAGCAGAGGCGGGCCTAGGTACTACGGGAGGAAGGAGACAAGAAGTTCAGTGATACTGGTGTTAATGGGAATAACCCTTATCGCTGTGGGCTCTGAGCACCAAATACCAAGCTACAGCCTGCTTCTTGCTAACAGCTTGGTGTTCCCTTAAGACAGCTGAGAATCAGATAGTCGTATAATAACCTTAGTTTCCCACAATTAAAGGCAGGCGACTGATAGTGCAAAAACACGTACGACCCACGCTGTAGCAATGATTCACAGTTTCTGAACACCTGCTAACACTGAAAGAAGTGGTTCCATAAAATTGTTAGGTGGCAGGGGAAGCCTAAGATTTAAAATTAGCCACAGATAAATTCAAATGGATGATTTATGGAAAGAGCCTAAATGTCCACAACTGACAAATGGATCAAGAAGATGTGGTTTATCTATACAATGCAATACTACATGGCAATGAGAAAGAATGAAATCTGGCCATGTGTGGCAGCATGGATGGAACTCAAGGATGTTATGCTGAGCGAAATAAGTCAGGCAGAGAAGGACAGATACCATATGTTTTCACTTATAGGTGGAACAGGCGTAACTTAACAGAAGACCTAGGGGGAAGAGAAGGGGAAAAAATAGTTGGGGAGAGGGAGAGAGGCAAACCATGAGAGACTCTTGAAAGCTGAGAAAAAACTGAGGGCTGATGGGGGTGGGGGAGAGGGAGGGGTGATGGGCATGGAGGAGGGCACTTATTGGAATGAGCACTGGAAACCAAGTTGACAATAAACTATGAAAGAAAACAAAAACAAAAACGTTAAATGGATGATTTAAAAACAATTTTTTAAAATGTTTATTTATGAGAGAGAGAGAGACAGACAGACAGAGTGTGAGCAGGGGAGGGACAGAGACAGAGAGGGAGACACAGCTCCACGCTCCAGGCTGTCAGCACAGAGCCCAATGTGGGGCTTGGAACTCCTAAACCACGAGATCATGACCTGAGCTAGAGTCAGACATTTAATCGACTGAGCCACCGAGGTGCCCCTATTTTTTAAAGTTTAGTTATTTATTTTGAGAGGGAAAGAAAGGCACCACAAGTGAGGGAGGGGCAGAGAGAGATAATCTGAAGCAAGGTCCGCACTGTCAGTGCCGACCCCTATGCTGGGCTCAAACTCATGAACTGTGAGATCATGACCTGAGCCGAAATCAAGAGTTGGACACTTAATGGACTGAGCCACCTGGGCGCCCTGCCATTTCTTCTTTAATATTTACTACGGTCAAATTTCTTTTGCAAAACATCCTCTGATTTATCAGGTGAACAAGGTAAAAGATTCTGCTTCCAATTTTGCATACAAAAACCACAAGAAGATGAAATAACTTTTCAAAGTCACAGGATAAGTAAACATGAGCTGGATCGAAAATCCAGTCGTCCAGCCACTAGCCCCAAACTCTTGATGTTATTTTACCATATTACTGATAGGAGCAAATACCTGCACTGGAAAATACAGTCATCTGCTTAAGGGAGGGACTCAGACTACGTGCTCAAAGAGCCCTTTGCAGCAATATGATTATATAACTTTTGAGAAACATTATCACAAGTTGGTGGGCAAGTTTTTGTACACTGGTTCACCAAAAGGCTTAACTTAATCTCTTTAACTGGCAAAGTTGGACTATTTCTTTCTTTTTTTTTTTTTTAAATGTCTTTATTTTGAGAGACAGAGACAGAGAGGAAGCAGGGAAGGGTCAGAGAGATTGGGGACACAAAATCTGAAGCAGGTTCCAGGCTCTGAGCTGTCAGCACAGAGCCCGACGCGGGGCTCAAACCCACGAACCGTGAGATTATGACCTGAGCCGAAGTCGAACACTTAACTGACTGAGCCACCTAGGCGCCCCAAAGTTGGACTATTTCAATGAGGAATGGTCATGGTTGGTATTTTCATGCCGAGCATGAAAAACGCATTAAGCTACAGAATCCCAGCTAGATTCTTCTTTTTGCATAAGCTTTTCATTAATGTTAAACAAACACCAAATGGTCCCGAGACAGGGCTCCGGGGGGGCCGGGGAACTGGGTATCCTGTGCTTTACAGTCTTGGGTGAGCTGAAGCCCACATGCCGCAGGACACCCTGAAGACGCTGGTAAGGACTGACATGTACATACAGGACTGTCAGAGGGACTGACTTGGGGTCAATGAATCAACAGGGAGACTTACTTCCATTGAAGATGTGGGTCTCGTTGAGTCTCCCTACCACCATCTCCTTCCCGTTACTTTTATTGATCTGCACCAGGCCTGCCCCAGAGGTACGGTTGCCAGCTTCTCGGCACACCCTGAACATGTAGATATACGTGTCGGGGCCCTGGCCCACGGTGCTCTCAAAGCTGCAAGGCCGAGTGCGGAGACAGAAGAGGAACGTTACTGGCTATCAGCCATAGGACAAGCAGCCCGTCCCCCTGAAAGTATGATCAGCTTATTTATTTCATGTCACAACTAAACATAATAGAGAATAGCATTTGTTGCATCGTGAGATATCCATGGATCATGAAATATCCACGTAATAGTGAATTATATTTACCGAATCATGAAACAGTTCTAATTGTTGAGGATGACTGATTAAAACACAACACCCAAGACAGCTAGCTAGTCTAGAACACCTGTTCTAGATTATGCTAGAGTGTTAGTTGCTATCTCCCTGTGAATAAAGATCTGTGTTTGTAGGAAGTATCCCTTGGTCCCTTGTTCCTTGAAGATCATTTTCAGATTTATATACCTGAAGATTCCTAACACTTAAGACGATGTGTATAGGCCTCAAGGTTCATCTGATTCTTCCAAAGTCCCATTAAACAGAGATATCAAATAATGCTTTTTAATTCCTACAAGCTGGTCTCTTGGATCCAGTCTTGGAAACAGCTACTCTTCTGCATAAGAGAACTGCACCTTGCCAGTAAAACCTTGGCTGAGAATTTGCTTTCTATCATTAAAAAATAAAAGGGCAAGCTATCATAGCCAGATGATTCTACTGAAGTGCAAGTTAGAACTGTCTCCTAAAGGAGGTTATTATACACGTATTCACTCCACACAGAGTAGTGATTCGGTAATAAAGTCGGTAAGTGGAGGGGACGATTCTTTACCTTTTGTTATACAGCGGCTGCAGCCTCTTCAGCAGTGCTAACTCTGTCTCTGACTCTTTACCCTTTGCTCCTACCAGGTCGCAGGTTTTTTCTTCCGTCTGCCAGGATTCTCTTACCGCCACGGCCAGGAGCAGTGGCAGGAGCAGTGCGGTCCTCCAGCAGTGGGAGAAGGGGAACATCCTTCCGGGAGAGGGTGTGTGAGGGTGTGTGCGTCGAGGAAGCGGGATAGGGTCAGGAGAGAAGGGAAGAGGTAAAGCACAGGAATGTATAATAAGTGCATGTGGTTTTGTTTTCACCCTTTTATCTCCCATCCATCGCTTATTTTACACTAGTCGGTCTTCCTCATTACCAGGAAACTGGGGTTTATTTTCTTGTGTCTGTTTCAAGTTTTTGGCCTCTATCCACTATTTTTCCCTGTCCTTTAATATTGAGAATTGGATTCTTAATCTCTAGGTTTTTTTCTCTTTTTAAAACTTATTCTGAAAGTCTGTTCCAAGCTGACTCCCTTGCCTGACCCCATAGCTCACCTCCTGTCCTGCCTGGGTGCCTTCAGGAAAGGGGTACACCGTGCACTCAGCAAAGAGGACGGCACTGGCCTTGGGGAAGAGTCAGTGTCTACAGATCGCTGTTGAGGATTTCTGCAAGGTATGCAGAAAACAAGACTGTCTCAATTTCCTAGGCAATTTTACCAACTCCTCAGCTCTACAGAGAAAGGCATATTTTCCATCCTAGAAGCCGTCAGAAAGACCAACCAATGGCCTAGGGAATACCTAGCCAGCACTGAGGCATGGTGGTGTGATTATTCGGAATGTACGAGATTCTTTGGCATTTGTAACCAATAGTACATCTCAATATCTTTGGGCCAAGAGCACCTGTAACAGGAAATGCATACATACATGTAATGCATACATACATGTAACTTTCTGTTTCTTTCACAGCTGAGTCCTTCACAACAAACTTTGGGGGTCAGAAGATGGAAAGGAAGGAACAAAAAGGAGTTACTTAATCATGACAACCTAGGTGGAGACACCCTTGCTTCCTTACTATTTTGTGAAAAGTGAGATTGCGATATCTCATATTTAAACTTTAATACTGGTTCATAAACACTGCTTCCGGGGCGCCTGGGTGGCTTAGCTGGTTAAGTGTGCAACTCTTGCTCTTGGCTCAGGTCATGATCTTGCAGTCATGAGAGGGAGCCCCATGCCGGGCTCTGCACTGATGTGGAGCCTGCTTGGGATTCTTGCTCTCTCTCTCTCAAAATAAACAAACAAAAACTTAAAAAAAAAACAAAAAACAAAAAACAAAACAAACCTGCTTTAACTTGCGGGCCTCCCTAAGATAACACTCAAATTTTAACTTAACATTCGATAAAGTCCAGTTGAAAGTTATTGAGAAAGATGTAAAAACAAAGAAAGAGTCTTAAATAGTTTGAGTCCTAACTTCTCCTAACAATAGTCAGGAGCATTCAATAGTCTTTGTTCATATTCACCGGAAGAATGATGAATGGAGATCAACACAGCCAGAGCACCTAAAACTTGACATTTACCTGCTTTGATGTCTCATGTCTGAAAAAATATTTAGTCATGTGAATTATAGGAAGAAGAAAATTCACTAGGTCAGAGAGAGAGAGTGGTTTGAAGAAGTCTTCCAAAACCCACCACAGGCTCCGCATGTCACAAATCCCAAGATTTTCTAAATATCCAGTATACTTGTCTTTGTATACTCCAAATTGCTGGCCATTCTTGGGAATCACTGAGTCACTTGCCAATTCACCTGCTCCTTGTACTGTTCTGGGAATGGAAACACATGGCTTCATTTCCCAGCCTCCTTTTCTCAAATCCATCCTCACACTCAGGACATTCGGATTTACCCCCGCAGACGACTTCACTCTGGTATTCATTACGAGTTAATGATCGTTCAGGCCATTGCTACTTGTTAATTTCCTGTCACTGTTGTGATGGAAAGATTTAATTCTTCCACACTTTACTCACTTATAATAGCAGGCTTCCATACCACAAGTCTGAACTTTGGTTAATACTAGGCAGAATTTAATGGGTACCAAGTAGTTTAAAAAGAGGAAAATGGAAGCTCTGAGTCCTGAATTCTCTCCACTCCCCGAAACAAACTTCCATTTGGCCTTCTGTTCTCTACATTCCACCCGGGCAACAAATGCTGGGGAAGTTGTCTTCTCTCTCTGACTCTGTATTATTTCCAACATCAACTCACTATAGTAATATTAATAAAATGTTTCCATAGAATAATTATCACCAGCCATAAAGTCTGAGGCCCCCATAAACGCATTTAAAGCACCAATCAGAAACTTTGAACAGAGTGCTGGCCTTCCATGGTCAAAAGTATTATCACGCATTAACTAATTATTCCTTACAAAAACTCTATGCAGTGAATACCATTATTGTCTTTATTTTACAGATGACACACAGCTAGTGGAGTGAACCAGAAAGTCTGACTCCAGAGCTCATGGCTGACACTTGACCACATGTTCACAGTATCTGCTTTCACAGTAGTTTTGGGGGGATCAGAATAGGCAGCCAAAGCTTTGCTTTCTTTCTGACAAAGCAGGGGGAAGTGACTCCTCACACAGCTCAGAGGATGGACTAAAGAACCCAAACCTCAAGCTCCTGCTTTCCCTAAGTTCATTGCTCAACACACTCAGTGACCAGCTGAGTTCTTAAAAAGCGATTAAGAGACTTTTTATGGGACTGACTCCACAGGCCATTTTCCTTATATGGTCTCAGGATCTAATTTCAAATTTCAACATTTTGGACTTGGGAGACTTTTTTCCCCAGGACCAGTTTTCTGGAGGGATGCTCACACAGAAAGAAGGCTGTGTTCTTTGGCCTCCAAGTCAGTTCCTTATCTGTTAACAGTTAATGATTTCTTTTCTCAAATTAGGACAAAGAGTCTTACAAAACTGGTAGAGGATACAGGGTTAAACACCCTGGGGTCTGCAACAGTTGAGTTGAACTGTCTTTCATTTGCTCATTGGTTTCAGAAATTAGGGTGGCACTAAACGTTTATTATTCTCTTTTCTGCTCAACGTTTATCTGTGTGTTTGAGCTGCTTCTCTTCGATTCAGTGGCAAGGTGTTTTATCGAGATTATGTTTCTTCTTCTTCACAACCCAGAAAAGCAGGTATAATTTCTCCCATTGTACAGATGAGGAAACGGATGTTTGCAGAGGTTACATGATCTGTGCTAGGTTGTACAAGTATTAAACATGCGTGAAACTGGTGGGACAACTTGGAGAATTCATGGCACAAAGCTATTTGCTGGTACAGACGTGAAAAAATTTATTAGGAAGAGTATAAAATCCAAGGGCTGCAAAGTTCCCTTTTAATGTGCTATGATTAAATTCTCAAGGCACGCTAGTTTGCCTAGAGACTTGGGAAATAAAGAACAGGACTTTAAGACTTTGAAAAAAACCCTTTGGTTCTCTTGTTTTAGGACAGATCTATTTCGGTAATGCTGAAAAATCCTCTTCAGTGGGATGACCAATGACTAAAGCAGGAACTGGGAAGCAGTTCACTTCACTGGCCTCTGAACCGCTCTTTCCCACCCTTCAACACCGGCCACGAGCATTTTCCATCGTTCAGTGGAATCTCTACTTTCGGCTGGCCCACTCCTGAGGTGGCGGCCCTTATCTCCCGTCTCCAGCAGCTCACACTGTTATAGAAGGGCAGCCCTCATGCGCTAAGAGGCCCAATGCTGAAAAGCCTTAGAGAAGTCGCTCTGTGTCCCAAGGGCGGAAGCTCTCTACAAACAGAAACACCAGCTAAAGCACGTAGGAGCTTCTCCAGATCCTACTGGCATCCCCTTCAAACTTCTTCCAGCCTTCTAGAAATCCTCGTTCCGTCTTAGTCTCCCGACTTGCCACTGCTCAGGGCCATCTCCTCTCCAAATGATGCCACTTTTAGCTTCCTTCTCGATGTGGGCCAAAAACTCCTCCTACAGGTATCCTGAACCACCTCAAACGGCTCCGTACCTATCGTCCTTCCCTTCCCTGCTTTCCAAACACACGTCAGTTCCCTCTCCGGGCTTGGTGGGTCCTCTCTCCCTCGCTCCCTTCGGGACTCGAACTCCCCGCCCGCACGCCTACGCCTGCGCCTCCTTCCTACACTGGGGCTCCTTAGCTGCATCTCGGGCTGGAAGCTCGGCCAGAGCGGACTTCGCGACCCCGGTCCCGGTCCCGGACGCCGCGGTGCGAGCGCGCACCAGCGCCTGTCCTCCTCCACGCCCCTCGTACTCACGTGTCGCGGGCAAAGCGGGTGGTCAGGGCGCAGAATCCCCGGCTGGACCTCTGTCTGGGGCTGCGAGACAGGGCCCGCGAGCGGCCGGCAGCACACCCCGACCCACCACTCGTGTCAAAGGCCAGCGTCCCCCAAGGCGCCTCGCTGTGCACCACTCCGGGAACCGGAAACAGGAAGCACCAGGCGTCCTCTGGGCAGCTGCTCCTCCCACCAAACCCAGCGGCATGTGACCGCAGAACCATTTCGCCCCTTTCCCCTTCCCGGTCTCCCGGCCGATCCCAGACTCTGATTGGCCAGGCTCCGGGCATTTAGCTCCGCCTTTGTCTTATCAGCTCCAATCCCCACCGAGATTTTCAAGTTGGGGGGGTCCACCTTTTTGGGTCGCCTTTCTACCAATGGGGTCCCAGAGTCCGGCCTCCCGGCCTCTCGGCTCGCGGAGCCACGCGCGGTCACGCGGGGTCACGCGCCAGGCCCGCTCCCCAGGAGGGCCCCACGCGGACAGTACGTGAGAGCGGCGGCGGAAGCGGAAGTCCGGGAAGGGGGCTGTCGGGCGGGCCTCGGCGGGAGCTGTAGTTCCCACCGCAGGTGTCTGCCTCCCCGCCCTTCCCCCGCTCGCTTGCCGCCGGCGAGGGGCGCTGTTTCGCCGTCTGCCGACCCCGCGTCGCGTGAGACCCCGCTCAGCGCCTGGAAAAGAGCGGACCGCGCTTGGGTCGCCAGGGTCCTGGCATTCTTAACGACGCCTTTGTTCTTTATTTCCTTTCCTCAGCTTAGTCCCTTGGGGTCTCGGGTTACCGATACTGTTTTGTGAACAGTGTCATCCCGGCCTCGTGGCATGTGGCGTGAACCCCTGCAACCTGTTCAGTTCACCAAGAGGTCTCTGGGCAGTTTGCGGTCTCGTGGCTCTTTGCGCGATGAACCCTCTGTAACCAGCTCTGCTCTCCTCGTGTCCCGCGTCCCCGGTGTCCTGGGGAAGGAGCAAGTCCGTGTCAGTCTCCGTGCCATCGCCAAGGTCCCCGGTGGTTTCCCTCTTGTCCGTAGGACGCGTCGCTTGTGAGGCCCTGCGCGTTCCCATGCTGTTCTCTCCTGTGACTTCCCGGATCGACGGTCTTCGGGATAAACCATTCCTTCTAAGTGCACACCTGTTGCCCCTCCCTGGTTATAGCGCGTTTTCATTCTACGTTGACTCCTCCCTTGCTTTTGTGTGTCACCCCCCCCCCCCGCCCCCCTTAGCGGATAGACTGGATTTTGGTTCGTCATTCTGCTCTCTAGAGTTAGCACAATGTTTTGAATCCAGTCGTAATAGAAGCTAGTACGTGTGTAGTTCTCTGTTCTAAGTGCTTCCCAACCCCCCCCCCCCCCAAAGCATTTATTTATTTTTGAGAGACCGAGCAAGAGCCGGGGCGGGGCAGAGAGAGAGAGACAGAATCTGAAACAGGCTCCAGGCTCTGAGCTGTCAGCACAGAGCCCGATGCGGGGCTCAAACCCACCAACCGTAAGATCATGACCTGAGCCGAAGTCGGACGCTTAAACGACTGAGCCACCCAGGTACCCCTGTTGTAAGTGCTTTAAGTGGGTACTGAGTCACTTAGTCTTCACAGTAACCTTGAATCTTAAAGCTTGCAGAGGCCAAGTAACTTATCCTGGGTCCCACAGCTATCTGAGTTATGGTGTCAGTATTCAGGTTCCATAATTTAGTCATTAGTTATATATGCATATAATCTTCAGAGTCATGCTCTCAAGTGGTACATTGACTATGTAGGATCCTGTGTTTGTTTATAAATGAGCACATTCAGTTCAGGCAAGGTGGTTATCATGTCTGGGTTGGGTTCAGATAGATGGGTTCTCAAGAAAAAACTAAAAAGGTGAGTTTCTTTTTAATAATAAAAGTAATTTGTAATCAGAAAATACAGAGAACCGCAGAACAAAAACCTATAAATCCACCAAGCAGTTGTGTATCTATCTCCCTCAGGAACGTGTTCTCCATTTCCTTTTTAAAAAACTTTAATATCCTTAAATGTTTCTCCATATCACTAACTTTATAAATAAACCCTTTACCGGTTGTGTAATACTTAGGTGTATGTATTGCTGCTTAAGGTATTTATTTCTATTGAATTGCTTTTATAAATTCATTCAGCAAATATTTACCTAACAATTACACTGTTACAGATTTTGGGGGTGCACCAGAGGGGGAAGAAAGACAGAAATCCTTTTTATAATAACCTTTCATTCTGGAACTGATGTTCATATGTTGGTGAATTTAGAAATCTTGCCTCTTGGTCATTACCTAGAGTGGCATTGGGCTGGAGGGAGGGGAGGGTGCATGTTGGAGGTCAGGAAAGGTCCAGCAATGCAGTTGAGTAGGGCGAATAACTTGTCTTCTGAAGGAGTGAGAAGGAGGGAGAGGCTTCCCTTTCTATCCACTCACAACTAACCTGGGTCACTTCCCTGCTTCTCACACTTTAGTGCCCATTGTGGAAATGATCTATGCCAGGGACAAAAACTGAATGTAGCAGTTCTTTTTTGCCTTTCTGCTCTGCCTCTCTCTAGCCTCATCTTTACCAAGGACACCCTGCACAGAATACCCACACCCACACCCCTCTCCCACATACAAAGTAAATTGCTCACTTTGTTTAGAAAGCAGTTCTTTAGCAGTTTTCTGCTGAAATCAAAGCTCAAAATGCCTCCTGTTTAGTAAAAACAGAAGAAGGGAAGGTACTTGAGAAATCTAGTCCCCCCTCATCCAGGGGGATATATTCCAAGACCCCTAGAAACTGCATGTAGTACTGAATCCTGTGTTTTTTCTTATACATACATACTTACGATAAAGTGTAATTTGTAAGTGAGGCACAGTATGAGGCTAGGACAATAACTAATAAAATAGAACAATTATAACAATATGTGAAGGTAGTCTGTCAAAAAACCTTACTGGACTGTATTCACTCTTCCTCTCGTGATGGTATGAGATGATAACATGCCTACATGATAGACAAAGTGAGGTCAGTGACATAGGTATTGTGATTTAACGGTAGATTGCTATTGATCTGCTGATAAGACAGAAGAGGATCATCTGCTTCCACGATGTGGTTGATCTTGAGTAACTGAAACCATAGAAAGTGAAACCATGGCTTTTACTGTATTCTACATTCTTCCTTCAAAGTGTTGCTTTGAGAATTTCCTCAGGTGTTCTTTTTTGTTATCTCTGAGCTGGAAGATTGGCTGGGAATGGCTTTTTAAATCTCTCAACAGCTTCCTTCAGTATGAGTTTTGTGTTACAGGTTTTGCTCTGGTTTCACTATCAAATAAATCCTCCCCGCTCACAATTTCTGATCTACTCAGGGATCCTTTTTTTTTTTTTTTTAGTTTATTTATTTATTTTGAGAGAGAGAGAGCAGAGGAAGGGAAGAGAGAGAAGAAGAGAATCCCAAGCAGGTTCCGCGCTATCAGCACAGAGCCTGACGTGGGGCTCAAACCAACGAATCGTGAGATCATGACCTGAGCGGAAACCAAGAGGTGGACGTTTAACTCACTGAGCCACCCAGGTGCCCTTGCTCAGGGATCTTTGAAATTTGTTCGGTAGTTTCTCAATCCTGTTATGCACGTATTCAATTTGCCATCTTGAACTAGATTTCAGTTTTGAATTTTTATTGATGCCTTCCTTTTAAAATACTTAACATATTTCAAGGACTTAATGTATTTTTTGGATACTTTTCATTTTTTTAAGTGTTCATTTATTTTTGAGAGAGAAGGGGGCAGAGAGGGAGAGGTAGAGAATTGCAAGCAGGGTCCACTGCCCAATTTGGGGCTCAAACCCACCAACTCAAACCATGGGATTATGACTTGAGCTGAAGTCAAGAGTCAGATGCTTAACCAACTGAGCCAGCCAGGTGCCCCTTGTCTCTGGTAATTTTCAACTTTAATATAACTTAAAATTTGTAGAATAGTTGCAAGAATAGTAAATAGAACTCTTGTATTCACTTTGCTGTGATTTGCCAGTCCTTTACAAGTTGCCCCATTTGCTTTATTAGTCTCTCCCCACCCTGCACGCTCAAGCACTGGTTTATTTTGAACAATTTGAAAGTTCACCATTACCATTAAGTACATCAGTGTGTCTTTCCTAAGAATAAAGACATTCTTTTACTTTCTCACTGTGTCATTATCAAAATTAGAAACTAGACCCCCTGATACAATATTATTATCTAATCCATGGTCCATATTCACATTTCATCAGTTGTCTCAGTCAATATGTTTTATAATTATTTCCCATTCCCCAACCATAGAAGCCAAGCAGGAGTCAGACTGAAGTCATTTGTCATTTTTATCTTATTTGACCGTGAGCTTTTGAAACGTACAGGTCACTTGATTTGTAGAAGGTCTCTTATTTTGGGTATATCTGGTATTTCCTCATAATTATACTTAGGAATGAATCTTTTTGATAGGGCTAAGAGAGAAGGGATGTGTTCTTGTACCAATCAGGATCCAATTAGAAGACAAACGCCACACCAGTGATTTTAAGGAAAACTTTCATATAGACTGGTTTTCTAGTAAATCATTACTAAAGGGGGCAAATAAGAACTCAAAGTTACACAGGAGTTACACAGAAGTAGCAGTCACAAGATGCAGCTACTGCCTCTGGGCTGAAGAAGAGTTAACAAGGAAGCACCTTAGAGACTTAAAGGAAGTGCTCCCTTCCCCAACCACAAGGTGGAGATTCAGACCGATGAAGAGAGGGTGTGGTTCCTGCCACAGGACGTGTGGCCCACTGATAAGGTAACATGAATCGCTGGAGGGTGTGGGTTGATTTTGAACTGGCAGTGGGAGCCTCTTTATAGTGGCTCCTTGTGTCATTTTGACATCTCCCCATCATTTTTTGAGCAAATTCTTTACTTTGGGGTACCCAGATGTTCCACATTTATCTTGTATTTTAATTACCATAGAATCAGTCATTTCTTCAGGGCAGCCTTGTTCCTTTCAGTGGAGAATGGTCTTGAGAAAGCAAGATCTGATTACAAGGTGTGCTTCTTGCTACTTGCGGGTCACTGCTTCAGTGCCCCTCGGCAGACAGAGTTAGGAAATCCATATATCTTTCCAAGAGTGAGAAACCAGGCTCCCATCGTAGTGAATATATGTATACACTTGTTCACACGTAAGAAAACACAGAAAGTAGTTAAGCATTTTTTGAATGTTTATTTTTTGAGA